CTATAAATTGCCTCATCTCACTACAATGTATGTTGATTTAGGAATGTTCCAGAGTTCCTAATTAAACAATGTCATGGGAATTGCTCAAATCCGTGAAAATAGGAAGCCGTCTTTCAGTAATATTTTATGAAATGTATTTAATGCGCAATTTTATTGTTCTATTTTTCTCTTCTTCCTTTTAATTCATAAAGTAAAGCTTGTGAGAATCTTGTAACGCAATCTATAACCCACTGTGCGAATTGGATTCCAACGAGGAGAGATAGAATCCTTAAATATTGCACCTTGAGACTTTCATTCCTTTTTTTTTTTTCTTCTTTAGTTCATCAGCTTAGGATTTGCTGAGCTTGTTCTTCCCTTCAGAAGTTCTAACTTTAGGATTTGCACTTTTGGTAATGCTTTACTTTGTCTTCTTGAGCTGTCTTTGTAAATTTTCTGTTCATCTCTTTTACTTCATCATTTCCTCCAGCCCCCACTTTCCCTGCTCCATGTGCAAAGCTTCAGTGTCTTTTCTGACATCCATTTTGATCTCTTCTTTCTCTCTTTCTTTCTTTCTTTCTTTCTTTCTTTCTTTCTTTCTTTCACTCCTTTTTACCTTTTGCTACATGTCATACCACAAATAAATGTGCCTAATCAATTCTTGAGATGATTTCCAAATTCAGATGCACTCAAGGTCATATTTTGGTTCTGCAAACTTATAAATTGTCTTCACCTTCGACCTGAGCCTGCATATGAACATCTCATGGTCTCTTCTACACTTGACCTTGTTTTGGCTGATGAAACGGACCTTATCCATCACCTCTTCTCAAGGATATAGTCAATTTGATTCCTGGGTATTATATATGGTGGTATCCATGTGTACAGTCACTATTTATGTTGTTTAAAAAGGTGTTTGAAATGACGACTCATGAGCTCTCCAACCTAATTTCTATAATCAATGCTATATTTTCTCATTTCTGAGCCTTTCCCTTTACTTTTAACTTTCACGCTCCAATCACGAATAGTTATCAATGCATCTTGATTGCTTATTTGGCAAGTTCACATGAGAAGTTGGTAGAATTGTTCAAATCGTCACTATTTTCTGGTTCGTGTGAAAATTTTAATAATAATCGTACTAATGGAGTTTCTTGTAAGTGTATAGTTCTATCCTTTTGCAAACAGCAATGCAGTTCAAGATGGCCCTTGAAATGTTCTTTCTGATGAATGCAGCTCTGTTCCTCTTGAATTTTCCATCCCCAACACAGTAAGTCATTAGATTCAAAATGGCTAATACTAGTTCATTTCAGCTCACTATGCCTAAAATATCAATCTCTATGCATACCATCTCATTTTGATGGTTTCCAAAGTTCCTCGATTTATACCTTGTACATTCCATATCCCAATGTTTAATGGACGTTAGCACCTGTTTCTTCTTATTATGTGCCCTGACCCGTCAGCACATGAAGAACGTGAGGCTCCACTTCACCCACTTTCTGAAAGTTGCCTCTTTGAGAAGGCAGCCCTTCCCGCATTCGTATTTTGCGTACCTTCTGGCCTGAGTGGTTCGTGTTCCTTCACTATGCCAGCCAATGTTAGCTGCTATGCATACGGGTTTTAGTGGAGAATCCATCCGCTGTGGGATGTCTTTCCCTGCTTTGTAGTCTGCTCTTCATAAGGAAGCTCTGCTGAAAATGGTCCACTCTGGGTGAGTCTGGGAGGGTTGGAAATACCGGTGGCCTAGCTTCCAGGATCACAGCACCATACAAACCACCATCGTACAACGAACTGAGACAGGAGGTGGGAAGCGTGACTGAGAAATCAGGAACATACATGTTCATGGGGCACTAGCACTGGTTTTCCACAGAAGGGGTTCTTTCCCCCTGAGATTTCAGTGTCAGTCAATTGGCATTCACATTCTGACTTCATATTTTCTGTTCTTTTACATTGAGCAGATGTCAGTGGCATATGGATTCTGAATATAACTCAATCTGTTCTTCAAACAATTGTAATGACTGGTCAATGGTTTTAGATAATTTATACATCTGCTACACGTGTGGAGGTTTTTAAAATTATTTTGACTTTTTGTAAAAATTAAAATTTTTGCCTCCACTTAAATTTTAAAAACTGCATTTCATGATAATAAACTCATTTGTAGAGAGCCTCCTTTGCTCCGGCAATGGACTCACTGACCCAATGGTGGACAGGGTGAGAAACAAAATTCCCTTAGATTGAGCAATGGAACACACCTTCCTGTGCCCCCACGGTCCCCGGGAATACATTCCTAAAGAGCACTGCAGAAACAAGAACTCGGTGTCAGAAATTTTAGGCAATATCAGCTGCAACAGTAGCCAAAATAACAGAAACAACAGTGGAAACTAAAACATAAAATGATGTAGATAATCCAGGATAAAATTATTTTGAATATACCTCAAAATATTTATATATCTAATACCAAACTTTCAAACTGCTAATTCATAGAACCATATTTCTTCCTCATGTGGGAGAAAGAATACCATCCAGTACATATCTAAGTGCTGCTCTTTAGATAAGACATTCTACTATGAAGGTGAAAAATGGTCTAGTGACCCTGCTGTAAGTCCATTATATAACAACAAATACAATAGGCATAAGACATTCTGAAACAGATGTTTAAATAAAAATACGGTACTGGATTTTTAGCAAAAGCATTCCAGTAGCAAACGCAATTTGAGTATTAGGATCATTTTAATTATACTCTACTTTGATTTTAGGATTTTAGCGGTGGATGCATCTACTTAATTGGTTAACTTTATACTTCAGGAAATTATCCCTTACACGATATGGATAATATTAGCATGAACCTTATAGATTTGTTGTGAAGAATAAGGAAATGATGAATATCAAACATGTACCATTTTTAGCTTCTGTCAGAGTAAGGCTGATTTCAGATAAAAAAATGAAGTTGGGAGTACTAAATGTTTGTTCCTTGATTTGCTGGTTTTAGAAGTACAGGTAAGCCCAGTCTTCAAAATAGAATAGACAGCACTTAAGGACTGTCTCCTTTTTGATATGTGCATCTTGCTAGTGATACGCATAGCATACAATACTGCAGCACATACTTCGCTGATATTATTATTCTCAGATATCCTATCACAGATGTTCAGTTTTCTGATTTACTGCTCAAAGCACTGCGGTGTAGCAGGTGTAGCCTGATGTCCAGTATTGGTGTCAGGAGTGGGAAAGGATCGACAGTTTGGCATGGTTCAAATTCAGTGACAAAGACTATTGAACTTTGCACATGACATGATTCTGATTTCCTTGTTATGACACAACTTCATGGCAGACCAGGTTTTTGGTGTGATTTTATTGTGGCTCCCGCATCCTAGAAAAAGGCAGTTTTGAGTTTAAATTAGGGCACTTGACATATGTCAGATCTCTGATGGAGCCATCAGAGTGGGACCCTCTTGTAAATAAACTTAAAGAAATACATATTCTAAATCACTATAAAACGTCTTTTGCTTTTATAGCTATGTAAGTGACCACAAAGTCCTGATTAGTAGCATATATTATGTTGCTTAAGTATACATTAAGAAGAGTAGCAGAAAAAAATAGTAAGGGTTATAAATGAAAAAGCATTAATAAATGTTGTGTTCTGTATTTATTTCAGTTACATAGTTTTCAAGTAATGATATGAAATTAGCACATCATTGATAACATGTAGTACATCACACTAAGCAAATGTTTAACGCCATCCCACTAGTGTTTAAATCTATGACAAATTATTTTTAAATATTTATTCCACTATCTAGAATAATCTTTATTTTTTATCTACAGCTGAAGCTTTATGCCTTTTAAATGCTACTCTATTTGGTCTTTCACAAATGGTACAGAAAATAGGCATAAAAATCTTCCTTCCTGAGGGAATTATGTTTCTGTGCCCATATGCTTTTTTGTTAGATCTTATGAATAATAACACTGCCGATCATGCATGCCCAGCCTTATCACAAGTCTCATATCACAGTATTTAGAATTGAGGTTACTATCAATGTGGTTCCAAATCCATAGCTTTACAAATGTTATAGACACTAAGTCAAAATAATTTTAAAAACCTCCACACATTTAGCAGATGTATAAATTATCTAAAACCATTGACCAGTCATTACAATTGTTTGAAGAACAGATTGAGTTATATTCAGAATCCATATGCCACTGACATCTGCTCAATGTAAAAGAACAGAAAATATGAAGTCAGAATGTGAATGCCAATTGACTGACACTGACATCTCAGGGGGAAAGATCCTCTTCTGTGGAAAACCAGTGCTAGTGCCCCATGAACATGTATGTTCCTGATTTCTCAGTCACGCTTCCCACCTCCTGTCTCAGTTCGTTGTACGATGGTGGTTTGTATGGTGCTGTGATCCTGGAAGCTAGGCCACCGGTATTTCCAACTCTCCCAGACTCACCCAGAGTGGACCATTTTCAGCAGAGCTTCCTTATGAAGAGCAGTGTAGAAAGCAGGGAAAGACATCCCACAGCGGATGGATTCTCCACTAAAACCCGTATGCATAGTAGCTGAACATTGGCTGGCATAGTGAAGGAACACGAACCACTCAGGCCAGAAGGTACGCAAAATACGAATACGGGAAGGGCTGCCTTCTCAAAGAAATTTTGACAGTCGGTTGTTACTGAAAATAGCATCTCATTCAGCTATCAGTTTTTTGAGCATGGAACATGTTATACCAAACCCCAACCAATTTTGTGGTGTAATAGGGAGATTATTAGCTGGATGAAAAGCTCTTGTTAAAAAATATGGATTTAAAAGTTTCAATGCTGAGTGCCAGATAATTTCCAAAAAACAATTTGATTTTATATGATAGGGTAATAAATAGGCATTAATAGTTGCAAATAATACAAATATATACCTTAACGAGGAAAAAAGCTTTCAAATGATGAAATACTTAGCTATTCAGCTCTAACACTGACATTAAAAAATTAACCTAATCGGCTGGATTTCTTTGTTTGTTTCTCTCATGTTTCCAACCCAGATTTATATATTTGAAAATAATATCTACTATCAGCCTGATATAAAGAGCAGTTCATTACGACTGACATCTTCTGGGAAAGAAGGAATCATTTTTAATGGCATTGCTGACTGGTTATATGAAGGTGAGTTGAACAAAATTAGTTACAAAAGAATATAAATGACACAAGTTCATAACAAATCTATGAGAAAAACTCATGTATTCTGTAACAATATTTATAGCATTATTTTTACTCATTCCCTTTCATAAAATTACTTCATGACCTCAAATATTTGCCTACGTTCATATTTCATTTTTTGTGACTTACATACATTTATGTGATTCTACATTTGATGTGTGTGTATTATGTTCAGCTCAGGTAGATATTATGTCACATGACACTTAAGTATTTAAAGTGAAGTCTAGCCTTGAATAATTTTGGAATTCCATGCTAAATTTTTCAGGTTCCTTGGGAAAAGAATAAAGTAAGAAACGTATACTACTCAAAATGCATAAGAGCCACTTAATGTTAATCTTTCCCATTGGGAATATTTTGTCACCTTTTAAAAGACATTCCATAGACAGAAACATAAAAATGAACTTAAATAGTTATTTGCAGTAATGCTTCAATCACATTTTAGTAAACATGAGAATATAAAAATGAATCAGGCAATGAAAACCCCTTTTCTCTTTGGATCATGCCAGCCTAGTCTTGGGTATTGGCTACATGGAGAGGAACCAAAACTTGAGTTTAATACCTAGCTTTCAGACTATGAAAAGTACCTTGGCAAATCTGTAAAGGTGTAGACTAAGTGAATCTGTTTAATTACAAATTATAACACTAAGAGTCATCATAAAACATCAAATGCACTTCAAGAACAGTATTTGCAAATGCAGGTTCCCTATCTCAAAGTAAGGCTGTTTATTAATAGTTCCAGAAACTATCTCTGACTTTCATTTTTCAAAAGGTAAATTATTACAGTGTCATGGGACTTCCCTTTGAACAAAGAGACAAATGGAGGACTACCTTAAAATCCGGGTAGTTCTGGTACGTCAAGTAGCAGTAGTAATTGATGGCCTTCCCCAGAGGAGTACAGAGGCTACAACATACACTTTGTCTTTAAAATGTTCTTGCTACTGTGAGTCATATGGACATACCAAGAAACTGTGTCACCTATCAGCTTGAAATAAATTGGGTGCTATGAAGAGCAAAGAAGCAATACAGCCCATTTTAGAGATTTTCATCTATCTTCTTAAGGAAAATTCATCTAAATATGAAATATTAAGAAATGTTACATGAGAAGAAATTGAAAGAGCAGTACAAGAAAAGCTACTGTCTCGCAAAAGTGGAACTCTTAAATAGTACTGTGTGTGTGCAGGAAACAAAAATCTCTTTTATAGTATTGAGGTGTACAATTTTAGACAAAGGAAGACACCAAAATATAAGTGATGATAACCCTAACATATTACATTTCAATTACTTTTCCACTAGTAAATGGGAAAACTAGTAGAGTTTTAAAATAAAGACATGAGGATATTAGATCTTCCATATAAATAGCTCATTGTGACAGCAGTGGGAAATAGGGATCTAATACATGAAAGACCCAGGGAGCGATTGTAAGGCCATTTCTACATTCTATCAAGACATAATGAGCAATGGACCAGGTTTAAAACACTAAGAAGGAGGGAGGGTTCTAAAATTGATGGGCCAATAAATATATCACTGTGACTAAATGGATGGGCTAGATCAGAAAAAGTTAAAAATTGTTATGAATGAGCTTTCTGATTTGGCTCACTAGTGAAAGCTCTGGCAGGCCTTTGTGGACAGCAATTCACAAGGAGTTGTGTATCTCAAGGAAAAAGCAATAATTTTGGTGGCAACATAGTCATTTCGTAGCATGCTAAAATGCTACATTGGGAAACAGCAGGCAATTCTTAACACTGATGCACTTCTAAATCAGCAGAGGGTCTATTCAGTGTAGACTGTGCTTATTTTATTGAGTTGACCATTGATCAAGATGACTTGAGGCTCTTTCCCATTGGTAGGATTTCATATAGGTTATGGGAAATATAATTTTTAAAATGTCAGGAGAGAAATTAAAAACCATTTCTGTTCAGGCGATTTCTTACTCCATTGAAGAATAAAAATCTATATATTTGGAGTGAGAGTAAGCAGGGTGCTGATCAGTGTATCTATGCCAAAATCTGATATGGAATGTTATAAATCATCCCCATGGGGGATGAGCTCATTGTATAGATAGCATCATTGATTTAAAGGCTGTATTCTTTAGGGTTGATCTCTAGGAAAAGTATATTTCTACATCGGGAGACAGGGCAGGTATCACCTTAACCAGGTCACTACCAGTATAAGTTTAACAGAAGAAGATTTCTCATTTTCAGAATACCGGAAATGGATGAAAAGTTAGCAGTTCATGATAGCTCTGAGAACGTTATCAGCACAAATAAATACATTACCCAAAGCAAATGACTTCTCCTAGAAAAAAAAAAGCAGCAAAAACTTTCTTAGGACGCTGTAGGATTGACACATTGCAGATAGACCAAAGACATCATTAAATTAGAAATGGGAAAAATGGCAAATAAGAAAGGTGAACTTAGAATTAAAACATTTGCATGGTGATGCTGCTGAAATACCATGGATGGTGAAAGAGCAAACAGATCTATCTTAGAAGAAGTACAGCCAAAATACTCCATTGAAGTGTTATCCGGAGAGACAAGTCCTTGGAAAATGATATCACACTTGGTAAAATAGAAGGACATTGAAAAAAAGGAAGAATCTCCATAAGATGGATGGGCTCTGTGGCTGCAACAATGAGCGCAGACATGACAATGGATGTGAAGATGGTGCAGAGCCAGGTCCTGTTTCATGCTGTTGTACAAAGGGTCTCAGTGATTGGCACTGACGTGATGCCATTGAACAACAAGTCAAAAACTATGGCTATAAAATCAAAACTGTATGCGTTAAAAAACCTATCTATCTGCATGCATCGTTTTTGTTTCCTGACTGAGATAGTTAATTGCATTGTGCCAACCTAGCCAATGAACACATGTGGGGTTAATTGAAGGGCTGAGAGATAAATGGCTCAGCGAGCCTCGCCTTTCTAGTCTCGGGTCTCTTGCTTTGTGATGGTCAGACCAGGGTGCAGCTGCCTTAGCCAGTTCCCTGCTTCAGCTGGCAAGGCTCACTTCCTGCAAGACATCCTTGAGGAGAAGCCACATGGACCTACCTGGATGCAACCCTGGGTGCTGGAGCAGCCGTGTGGAGACCCCTGCCAGAGCTGAGATGCGTACACATTCACTGATTTGGCTTTCCTCCTGCAGTCGGCATCATAGTGTGTGTTTTGTGAGATGGAGGAGGACTTTGTGGACTGGTGTCGGACATATGAGCTAATGTGGGACTTGTGGGCTTGGACCAGCACTGGGTTGGGATGTTTTCTTGATGCACACTTAACCTTTATATGAAGCTCTCTCTTATACGTGAGTTTCTGTGGATTTGTTTCTCTAAAGTCCCCAGACTACACACTGGCATATCCCCCAACTAAGTCTATGATCTTCTGCTCGTGGTGTTTCCACTCCTGGAACTTTGTTCTGAAGGCTCTTTGATCCGGCAGGTTGGGCACCTTTGAGGGACTGAATTTGTGTTCCTCTTGAGTGTTTTCTTTGAGTTTAGGGAAGAAAGAAGTGCAAAGGGTCAAGATGAGCCTCCCCTAGCAGAACATCCCTTATCCTGGAAAAACGATGTAATGTCTTGACAGGGAAAAAACATCCTCAGTGCAATTTCTTGGATTTTTCTTAAAACATCTTCAAAATAAGCCCTCATGATAGACCTGTGTGCGCAAAGAAATTTATCAAGATTACTTGTTTAGAAGAAGTAAAACAAAACAATCCGTTTGACCAGCCTTTAATTCATTTCTAAGGTCTTCCCAGTGTATTTTTATAAACATATGATCCATCTAAAACCTGGTTGTTTTCTCTGCACAGTCTCAGTATACATTTGTTATGAAGCTCAGTGGTTTGGAAAGATGTCCACTTGAGTATGATTGTCAACAGTGTGTAGATACTCAGGGGTGAAGATTTCTTTTTTGTTGGTTTACAGAAATCAATTAACATACGTAAAATAATAACCTAAGTGAGAGACTCAGGAAGTAACCTAACATTTCCACTTCTTGATTTGCAAACACACACACACACACACACTCAATGGAAATTCTCCCTGGCATTTTCTAAGACAAGGTAACATTATTTTATTTCTAAGCTAATTTGGTGCCTATTACCCTCAAAGAGAGTAACTCATGCTGTGTCTTTAAAGAAAATGTAATTGCCTTAAAAAACGTTTTTGTCAACATTTAAGAAAATATTCTACTACCGGGTCAAGTGAAATCATACAAAATAATACACTTTCAAGAGTAGATAAAGTTGGGGGAAAATATTCAAAATAATTTTAAGTGCAGTATACACAAAGCACATCTAAGGTTATTTCATCTAATTCAAATTTCTTAACATGATGATATAATTAAGATATTAGATCAAATATTTTAAAAAGTAAAAATAAAGTTTATAGTTTCCAAGTTAAAGGCCGTAAAGATTTCTAAAAAGGCTTTTGTGTGTTAAATAAAAACAAAACACAACAACTGTCACTTTGAAGCATTTGAGTGGAAGAAACTAATGTGCCTAAATGATTTATAAAGATTTTAAAAACCTCATGTTATTAGAAAACTCTTAATATCTACTGTGCCAATTATTAAACACATTTATTTGTCAGACAATGTCTGATTACAATGCAATGAGGAATGCGAATTTTTGTGTTTGGTGTATTACCAATTTAGTGGAGTAATAGCCATTTAAACAACTCTTCCATGAGGAGAAAGTAGGAGTTTGGTCAATAGAATAATAAGTAAAACAAAATCGGATGGGACAGAGAAACCGCATCTTGCTTCAGGAATCCTCATATTATAATGGGTTACCTGTTGGACAGTTAATTCCAAAATCAGCAGTTCAAAATCACCAGCAACTCTGTGGGGAAGAGATAAGGCTTTCTACTTCTGTAAAAACGTTATAGTCTAGGAAACCTACAGGGGAAGTTCTACTCTTCCCTACAGGTGTGCTAATGACTCAGAATGAACTCAA